TTTGTGACCCGGATTTGTTTCAGTTGAATCGTTTTATGGCTATTGAATAGCGGTATACTACTATTGCCTTTATTTATTAATGTAATGATGATATATATCATTAACTTATGTTATTGAATGAACACTCCGGAATAATTTTGTCTCATAACTTGTCTTTTGTTGTTGTTCATTACGTCATAACAAGATACTTATCAATATTTGATGTTTCTAGTCAAGGCATACAACATGACGAGGCGTTATTAAAGCAATAACTGCTTATTTGTCTCGGACTCCTGTATACACGTACACGGTAAAATTTGGTTTTGATCAATGCATTGTTTGCTCGCTGCGTTTTGTGGACTCTTGTTTGTCTTGTCTTTTATCTTTTTGCCATTGGCTCTATTTGTACATATAGAATAATTATTTTTAATTGCTTGTAAATACGTTTTTATTATATTTTTAATGCTTACCCTTTTTGATCTGATCATGGCACACTTTTGTCGAAATTTCAGAAGCATGTAAAAGCCAAGGCAAGAAAAATACATCAGTATTTCCCATCCTTTTCCTGAAACAGCCATCCATATGGTTCTTTCATTATCAGACAGACAAGCAGAAATCCAGCACCATGCCCCTGATCCTACAGATAAATCTGATCCAAGAATTCCCTTTGCCATTGCCGTTATAGTGATGCCACCTGGAAATTTACAGAAACGTTAATATTAATTTCCTGCACTTTATATTAAGATTTGTCTCTTTTCCTTTTTAATAAAATTTTAGCATATAAATGATGTAATTTCGGATTGTAAATTACCAAATCATTCGACTTAAAGCAATTTATAGGTTTACCTAACGAAACAGTAATTTCATTTGTTAAAATGACTTTTTCACAGATATGTGCGCACAGATGTGACTCATATTTGCAGTCTGGCTGAGAAAAGTTACAAGACTTCAAATGCAATATTGTCATTTCCTAAAATGATATCAATGCTTACCCGGTATGGTCCAGCTAAGTACATGATACACAAACATTCGATAATCTTTTTTGACATGTTCCGATTGATTGAAGCTTCTTGATAGATCTTGGTCTGTAGAATTCCACAAAAGATGGAATGCAATAATCGAGGTCCACCAAAAAGAAGACATACTAGACATCGTGGTCAAAAAACTTTGCGCAATACAACCGGAATCATTTTCTACATGGCATGCTAAAACTTTGTCCGGACTAATGTCGTCACCATACAAAAATCGAGCGGCTCCAAATAAGAATCCAATTGCACTAAATATGTCTGCTATAGTTAAATATAACAGAAGTTTCATTGGTTCACTTATTTGTTCTCCCCGGTGAAATGTCCGTCCAATGTTTATAAAAATAATAACAACACCAATTATAGACAGAGAGCATGTTGTAATGGTTACAGCAATATCAATATCCGTCACTTTCTTAATATATTCTCCAGTGAAATTGGTACCATTATGAACCATTTTTCTCGTCGGTACATGTACCCAGGAACAAGTACAGAACTACTGATCATTTGAATATAAAAATGAAAACTGCATTATGATATGTCACGGAAAATACAAAATATTGCAATTCATCATTTGCAAGCCTTGCAAGTTCAGTCAAATAAAGACAAAGTATATCATTTTGTAAATATTGATAACATATGAGTTTACTTTATTAATATATTACACTAGTTTAAAATTGTCCACCTAACCCAATCATATCATATATATATGAGATTAATTTACCTACTGTGTACATCCTCATAGCTGCTTAATCTTTATCATTCATTTTATATCTGTATTGCGATGAAATACATTAACAAGGTTGTGATAATTAGAAAATGCAGTGTATCATGTACATGCATGAGCCATTATAAACAGAATAATACCAGACTAATAGGATGCATGTCAATAAAACATATTGGTTGCTCATCTTCATTTTTTTCAAACATAATGACGAAACTTCACGGCTATCTTTCGGTTAAGATTGTATGTCTATTTCATATATACATATGTATTTATATAAACATTTCGTTTTTTTGTAAAATCCATTTTAAATTTGGTGACTTTAGTGGTTCGAATTTCATTCAACGAATTCTTATAGTATGGATTCCGGTCTACCACCAAATGCGTACATTTTTTTCATCAGATATTGATATCCAAAAGATACTCATTGATACAATGGAAACATAGGGATTTGGCCTGTAGATACATAAAACAAAATCAGTATAATTGTATTTTTTAGCCTTCAGGTTTATACGAATATTACATTAGCACGAAAAAATAATTCTTACAGTTAACGTTGGGACTAAAATCTGTCCGTCGTTTCCTTTTTTTCTATTTCTGTTGTTTTTTCTTCATTTTTCCTATTTTGTGTGTTGTTTTGATATTTTTGCACTGAGAAAGATTTCTTTTTCAAAACCAAAACAGCACTGGATCATTATAATACTTACATTTAACATTAAATTCTAAATACCCCACTTATTTTGAACTCTATTTTGGGCACAAACCGTATCTGTTCCTTTCATCTTAAAGTTTCATTTTAATAAATAGTTCTAGTATTTTTAGAGGCCATCAGGTTCAAAAATTGATACCACCATATTTGGAAATTGTGGAAGTACAGGTAATTTGGAACTCATATGCATTTTCGACCAAACGTTTTATTTTCAAATATTCGTCCTTATCACCATACGTAAATAGTTACACTCATTACACAGGGTCAAGTAACTGTTTTCATTTAATATGTATTTATCACCTGAGATCATCCCAGATTCTGATGGGTTAAAATTGTTCAGTATTTCTCTGCGGAGTGGTTTGCTAACATTAGCTAGTATTGATTGTTGTTCTCTTTTTATATACTAGTAGTTATATGTGTATTTCTTTATGCGTTTACGACTTGATTGTCCTGTGGTTGTTTCTGCTTCTCTATCATGTATTTGGTCAAATCGTTAACGTAAATGTGGCTATAATAAATTAAAATTTGTCGGTAAAATATCTTTGACCATAGGTCAAATAAGCATACTAAGTTGCACAAGCGAGAAAAACGCTTATATAACGTGAAATTTAAAATTCTTTGAAACCACCAGTTTCATCAGAAATGGACGTGATAGAAACTGAACGTCTTCAAGCGTCAACCATGAATTACAGTGTCCTGCAGATTAACTATAGCATTCATTAAATACACAATTGTTTACCTCCCAAATAGCAGCTTCGAGTTAGTGTACTTCTACAACAGTATCTGTTTTTCTGACAAGTGCACGTACTTCCATTGAAAACTTAATTATTTTATTTTGCAACAAAGTCCATTAAAACACAGATGCGAGATCCATTACAGCGATTTCCAGGAATGCTATACTCACATTTTTCAAATAACATCTAAAATGAGAACTTTTATTTTGTGCGTAAACTACTAGTATCCTGTCGTATATGTCTCAATAAAATAAATCTTGAAAACGTTCACGAATCTACAGTATAAAACATATGGTGAATTCTTTGGAAAAAACTTAATTCAGTTATGATGTTTCTACCTTAAACACTACTCGGCCATATGCTATGAATGTCATGTAAACTAATGGAATATGTGTTTCTGATAACTCATGTCTTACATTTTTAAATTCCTCTTGTGCAATTTAAACTTTTCTGTCTTTAGTCATACAAGATATACAATTTATTGTTCCAGGCAAAATGAGAGAATGCAGATATACCAAGGGTGCAATCATAAAAAGCAGATCAATAAAAACACACAATGCCGAAAAAAACGACAAAGAAAAAAAACAACAATCATAAAATCGAGCAGGACGACCACCCGTTCAAGTAGGAACACTCGTCGAGTTACTCATTGTTAAAAAGTATAAATGTTATAATACTGTGCACATCGCTCATAATGATTTGTTCGTTTTGGTAAGAATCTCTTTTCCGGAACGTGAAAATCACGCACAAATTGTAGAAAGGGAAAAGAGAGGCAAACGATACAAAAAGGACATTCAAACTCATAAGTCGAAAACAAACAGACAACGCTATGGCCAAAAAAGAAAAAGACCAAAAAGACAAACAACAGTATACAAAACACAACATAGAAAACTTACGACTAAGCAACACGAACCCAACTAAAAACCGGGAATTATCTCAGTTGCTCTGGAAAGGTAAGAAGATCCTGCTCCACATTTGGCACCCGTCGTGTTGCTCGTGTAAGTACAAACCCAATTATAAGTCTCATTCGGAGAAAAGGAGGACGGGATAGTGGTTACGACGACTGGAATATATCCGTCGTCATCTGTGAAACAGATATTCTATAACAGTCAACCAACTCGAAATGGCGTCCGTAAAATTTTGAAAGGATGATTTCAACGTCAGCACTTTGTACCCTTGGTTTAATAGTTTCCTTGCAAGCAGCAACCCACTATTAAGGAAATCATGACAGGAAACGCATGCCCTGGAATATCCTCTGGTAGATTTTTACCGCTGCTTGAATGTTGCTACATAGAAATGAAAAGTTTACAGTTAGGAAAGATGAAACAATCTGTTTTTTCGTAAAGCTTGTTCTCTACTGACCCTCATTGTCCATTTCTAGATGTAAGTCAAGATTTGAGGCAGCCTTAACTGTATCTGTGGTATCTTTTGTTTCAGTTCGTTTTGATAGATGCGTTCAACGCTGTCACCAAACTTTGAATAATTCATTGAGAGGACATCACCTATATAACGGAAAGAGAAGTTAAAGGGTAATTCTAGCTTCTTCGTAAGAAACTACTGTTTGAAGTCAGGAAACTTTTAAATTCTGATAAACCAATTGCTATTCTTTCACTGAGGTCAGATACATTGATGATGAACTTATTGCGATATATACGATTTTATCGAACTTGAGGAGTGTTTTTATCCACAACGAACATAGGCTTAATAACACTAATAACAATCGTCAGTTTTATTCCGTTTTAGATATATCTGTAATGGTACCATACATTAAAAAAATGAAACTTAAATAAACTACAAATGATTTCAATTTAGGGAAAAGAAAATACGCTATATGTTCGTGGACATCCTGTTGATAGCTGCGATGTTCGGGATTTGCCTTATATGTTATATTTCATATCATATCGTCTAAAAATGAAATGAGGACAGGCTGTATATTTTAAACTTTAGTAACCCAACCATAGCTTGATCGTGTAATAAATAGTTTAACAACAGTTTAATAATGTGGTATTGGTTTAAAAAACAACTGCTATTCTGTTCGAAGGAATATGGCGTAATTGATTGTGCTGGTATGTTGTTATATCCAATTTTTTGGGGTTATACTGTTATGTTTTTTCTATTTTTTAAACAAAAAAAAACAAAAGACACTTGACACTCATTAATATTTGAAAATTTGTCCTTTTTATGCATTTCTTGATTCTACATTTCCGAGTGTTCAATGACGATAAATGTGTTCATTTATGATTAAAACCAGATAGAACAGAATTTGAAAGTTTATTAAAAGTTATTTCTTTGTCGATCTTTTTTGTTCTTTACAATATTACAATATTTTGTGTATATAATTTTGAAAACATAACTAGCTTCTTATAATAGATTGTTGTTACTTCTTCTGTCATTTATATTTCGAAAACATCTCCTGAAGACACAAAATATTAAGAAAGAACAAAACGCTTGGGCACTATCGCCGAAACTTTGAACGTGCATCAAATAGACATCGGCATGTTCATAAAATGGCGGGCTAATACAAGCATGTCGTCTGAGAGTGGCCATTACAAACCGAATCGTTCCTGAAATCCTTAGCACTATTTCCACTACCCACAAGAAAATGTAGCTCAGGTTATGTTCTGGCGGTTGTTGATAGCATTTTGTCCTAGATATCAAAGGTGTTGTACTCCCGAATTGTGCATGTATCTGCAAAGGATGTTTCAATAATATGTTACTTATTTCTTTTTTTATTATTAATCCAGTGCACATTTTATCAAAGGTAAACATTTTAAAAGCCATACAGACCAGAATTGTCATACAATACAGAAACGTTATTTTTTTACTATAATGTACAGAGATTTGCCAATGTTCGACGACTGTATTTCGATACGAGTTTTTGTTGTTTTGATTTTCTTGATTGATATATTTGTTTGTTTTTATATTGATTAGGGTTATAACACAATGTTGACTGCTGTACCCTTATCTTTGACATTTTTATCTATTATGTCTGTTTGTTTTTTTCACACATTGTTCTCAATATAATGGAATTTTATGCGAACATTAGAACACATCTAAAGGGTTTTGAATTTGACAATCAACATGTCGAAAGTTTATGTCCCAAAACTCATCAGAGCTATTTCTCGTTTATTATTGATTGACGAAAGATGAAACTAAATATAATAGTTATAACAAACACTGTAAATATTTAAAAGGTTGCATACATTTTTTTTTATAGTCACAAAGGGGTAAACATTTTTCCCCAATATGCCACCTTGTTAAAAAAAAAGCCTAAAACACGATCTTCAACATAATAAAAAAATACTCAATGTTTTGTTGTGCTATTCAAATGTAACGGCGCCACTCCCTCAAAAGAGCACAAAATGCCTCTCACCTTTCCCGATGGCACTGCTGTTTAAGATTTTTATTATATTTGAAAAAATATTTTACGCATACTTCTCAATATAATAGAATACATGGACAGGTTTACAATAGATCAAAGACAAGTGAATTATACCTGTTTTTGTCTTCTTCTTGCTGACAGTTGGAACAATTTCAAAAGCATGTAAAACCCAAAGCAAGATAGGTACATCAACATTTCCCATCCTTTCCCAGTTACAGCCATCCATATAGTTTGCTCTTTAACTGACATGTTAGCAGAAATCCAGCACCAAGGTCCTGACTCAACCGAATTATCCGATCCGAGTGCATCTTTCGATAGTGCAGTGACAATAATAATAGCTGAAAAAAAAACAATGTTCAGACTAGATCAGTTCTAATTGCTCTTTAAAATACTATCAAGGTTATTATTGTCTGAAATTGTTTTGAAGGATCTGTTCTAGGGAAGAATGCTAGTAGTCATATTAAGGCGACAGTAGTTTACCATTGTTCAAATCGGATAAATCGTTTAGAAGGAGACAAATCAAGGTAACGTTATGAAAAAAACTGACGAAATGGCCTAACTCCAAAAGAAGCGAGACTGGGTGCGACAACAGGGTAAGCATCTCCTGCTATTGATGCACCATCCGCCATTCGAATTCACATTCAGTCAAAATATCATAATTGGGAATAGGAAAAGTCTGTTCTAGCGTAGATTTGTTCAGAATCGGTTGTAGGTTAAAACAGTTCTAAATGACGTATATTAGAGCATTTTCTGATCATTTTTTTAAAGAATGTTCGAGTTTCCTTGATTATTCCTGGAAGACCTATTTTTGATAAAATAGTCCAAAAGAAGTCAATGTTTCCTAGACTTAACTTTCAAATTTGAAATGACTTTTCTCTATCAAAAGTATCAAATTTGTAGATAATAATGCTCAAGCAGAAGAGGAAAATAGATCATCTAATATTTCAGAAAGAAGTATCGGGAATATTATACTTTCTTTTTCGGAGACAATCAAAAAGTTCAAGGAGATTTTTTTGCGGTGTTTTTATGTGAACCTTTTGGATTACATAATGCCAATATCATTTTCTTGGTAAAACCTGAATTTATGTGATTTGTAAACTTTGACATTATACAATCATACTTAATGATACATACTTGGTTTAATATTATTACGCAAAGTACGTTACATGCTAATAATGATATTTTATAAGCTTTTACACAAAACTAATACCAAAAATATAACACTTGAAAAACATAATTACTTAATAAATAAACTGTAAAAACATTTTAATATTTTGTTCGAAATAACAAAATGAACTGAATGGATCAAAGTTAAATACAATATAATATAATCATATAAATATATAACACTGAAATATGTGTTCTAGGATGAAAATGTTAGAATCAGTCGTACAGTAAAATTGTCATCACTGTTCTGAAATAGAACAGCTTCTGTCAGAACTTGTTCTAAAGAAGTCAGGAGAACTGTTCTTCATATGTTTTAGAACAGTCTGAAATGGCCTATATTTGTACTCGACTGTACTGATTTTTACTCGACCAGTCTGAATTGGTCTGAATTTTACTCGACATTACTCGACCCCAGTCTTAACCATACTCGACTGTACTGATTTGTACTTGACCCTTAGCTTTGCCATTGAAAATAGTCTGAACTATTACTCGACCAGTCTGAAAGAGTCTTAACCCATTCTCGACCTGTACTCAACCAATTTGTTCAGTCTAAACCATACTCGACCAAAGGTCTGAACAATACTCGACCAGTCTGAACCATACTTGACCAAAAAACCTATACTTTTTTTTAATTTTAGCTGTTAAAATAAATTTCTTTTTTTCTGACATGACAAAAGCCACAATAAAATAAAGATATACAAATGTATATAAAAACATATTTTTACATCCTTACATGATTCTCATATTTATCAAATAGAGATAGTTAAATTAAATTATCTTATATAATAATTTAATTATATTAATTTTAAAGTTTTAGAGTTTTGTTAAAAAAAAGATTTTCTTTTAACTAAAAACCACACCTTCTCTGAGGGATATGAAACCTTATTAAGGTGCTTCTTGTTTAAAATGTGTTTTTTTTTTTTAACTTAATTTTCCTAAATTCCTAAAGAAATACTATATAGGTTTCATGGTTACATACAATAGTTATATAATTATCTTTTTAATGAAGAAACAACAGCCAAAAAATTACTGAAATTGTTTAACCTTATATTAGAAATATATCTATTCTTATTATAATTTGGGATATATTATATATAATATATATCAAAAAGGGATAAAAAAATTAAAGAAATAGATAAAATTGTTCTTCTGATTAGTGGTAAAGTATAAAGTAATACCTCCTGCTTGGGGCAAACTCATTAAAAAGATCACACCCGGTCAGAGAGTATTAATTTCTAATTAACATTCATTAAAAATTGCAACATCCTGTAAAACTTAAATCACAAGGCCTTTTGAATTCACTAGATAAGTAATACACGAGTTTAAGAAAAAAAGGGCTTTCTTTTTACTTGTAAAACACACATGAACTGAGGTAAATAAACCTTATTAAAGTGCTTCTTGTATGCCATGTTTTTAATTTTGACAAAAGTTATTTAAATTTAATTGAAATAAATTTTTTCTGCAACTTTGGAACACATTTCCTTTTTTTAAATGGTTATCAATGATTGCTATGGAAGTTCTGTTATCATGATTATATTTAATTCTTGGTTTTACAAAACAAAATGTGATTTTTAAAATTTATTAGGTTGCTTTATATACTACTTTAAATATATTTTAATAAAAAAAAATGTTCACTGCATTATTAACTAAACTCAACTGACACCATAAATCTATACAAGGCTTGATCATATATTTATTGTTGTCCAGTAACCATAAAATATATCTGAAACATTCAAAAAAATTTCAATAACATTGAAAATATTAGTCACAATTCAGTTTTGAGATTATTTGATCAGCTTGTTTTATTTTTATTTTAAAGGTGATATATATATGTAAGTGTTGATAAATATGGTGTTGAATTTATATTATGTTTATTGTGAACTTTTGGTTTCAATGCCATATTGAATACATTTTAAATTTCAAATTGTTGTTCAAATTTCTAGCCAGGGGAAATAACTGTTAAAAACAGTTCCTAAATTGATGAAATACAATAGATATATACAAAAATTAGGTCTAGGTTGGTTAAGACTTAGTCGAGTATGGTTCAGACTAGGTCGAGTATGGTTCAGACTAGGTCGAGTATGGTTCAGACTAGGTCGAGTATGGTTCAGACTAGGTCGAGCATGGTTCAGACGAAAATAAAATGGTTAAGTACTGGTCGAGTACAAGTTCAGACTGTTAAGTATGGTTCAGACTACAGTCGAGTATTATCAAGTAAATTTCAGACCAATTCAGACTGGTCGAGTAAAAATCAGTACAGTCGAGTACAAATATAGGCCATTTCAGACTTTTACTGGTTTGTAGTGAGTTCAATTGATAGTTTCTTTCAAGTTTTAGTAGAGGTTAGAACTAATCCAAACTGTAGCAATATTATGCCAAGGTGAAATAATAACAAACAATTACCAAACCTAAGTATTTTATGGTTTGTGGTTTGTATTAATAAGTTGCCTGTTATCTGAATTTTATATTTCCTGTCAATTTGTAGGAACACTGATGTTACTTTGCTTCATATTTTCAATACAGTTTAATTGTGCCTTATGAAAACATGTTTAACACTAAAATAGTCATGATAGTGTATGCATAATTTAAAAACTAAGTAGAATTTCCGTAATGTATCCTAATATACATTAAAATAGATTGATGAATCAACAATTAATTATAAATATTGCGTAATAGGGAAAACACATATCAAAGGAATAACTATATAGAAATAGGAAGATGTGGTATGAGTGCCAATGAGACAACTCTCCATCCAAGTAACAATTTATAAAAGTAAACCATTATAGTCAAGGTACGGCCTTCAACACGGAGCATTGGCTCTCACCGAACGTCCATGTATCAAACGCTTAATTCAACAATTGACTGACAAAAAATATCTGATTTGAATAATTTAAATATATTTGGGAGAAAGTCACTATATTTTTAAATAGCTCATATCTTGCAAAAAACACAACTACTTTTATTTTAATACTTTCTTAGTCTTTCGAGGCCTTTAAAGCTTAGTATGGGTTTTGCTCATTGTTGAAGGCCGTACAGTGACCTATAGTTGCTAACCTTCAACATCATTTGGTCTCTGATTGCAACTTGTCTCATTGGCAATCATGCCATAACTTCTTAAATTTATATTGTATAATGAATCGTTACAGATAGGAGTGGGTTAATTGGATCGGACTTAACATTTCTGAATCAAAAATTGTTATTGTAATTCATAAGAAAAAGAAACGAGGAGTGCATTACTTCGAGATAATATATATTAGACGTATATTATAAAATTAAAATTTGATGTGGCGGCATGATCACGGTGCAGACGGTTTTGCCACGATGTCACAGAAACACGGGTTCGAATCCCGCTAAGGGGAGAATAAAACTTTGCTAACGCAAATTTACAGATCTAACATTTTTGGGCTAAATTTGAGACGAATATATATATATTGTGGTGTTAGACCTGTATAACCACGTGTTATTCGATGGAGAATATCTGTCATAAAATTGTCACATGTTTAGACATGTATAATAGAATTAAAACTTGATGTGGCGGCATGGTAATTAACATTATCATCCTTTACGACAGACAAAATAACTGATCTGAAAGTTACATCATCTGCTTGCCACTATACATCATGTACTGTGTTACAAACCTAAAGCCGACGAGGAAAGGTATTACATCGACCACCGAAAGCTATATTTTAACAGGGCGCTGGACACGGTGCAGGTGCAGGCGGTGTTGCCTCGATGTCGCAGAAGCAAGGATTCGAATCCGGCTGAGGGTAGAACAAAAATTTGCTAACGCAAATTTACAGATCTAACATTGTTGGGCTAAATTTGAAACGAATTTAAAAATAAATATATATATCACCGTTTTGACGGTCGCGTTTCTAGTAGAATGATTTTTGTAAGTATGAAATTATTGTTTATCAAAAACTTAATATAAGGAATCGCGTAAGAAATTACAAAAAGTGCTCAAATGATGATCAAATAAAACATGTCAATGTGTGAATAGACAAATAATTCATGCATGTCTATGCATCAATGAATTAAATCCATTTTTAAAATAATGCGTCTTACCCGGAATTATCCAGCTTAATATGTGATAGACATATATTTTTACATTCCATGTGCTCTGTCTTGATGAGATGTTATTTGAAGCGAAAACACTGTTGTTATTCGTATAACACGTATAGGTCCACCAGAAATTGAATGCTATAATTGAGGTCCACCAAAATGAACACAGACTAGCCATTGTTGTGACAAAACTTTGTGCAATACAACCCGGGTCCTTTACCTCATAGTTCAAAGAGTTGTCACGTAAAAACCGAACTGATCCATATAAGTAACCAATAGCTATGAACAAGTCTGCTATGGTCAAGTACACGAGAAGTTTTCGCGGCTCACTGAGGGATCGCCCTCGGTAAACTTTTCGTCCGCTTGTAAAACATATTGCAAAAGCACCACCGATAGACAAACAGGACGTTACCATTGTGACGACAATATCTCCTTTTGTTATCTTTCCTGCTAATTCGGTAGTACTATTACTGCAGTTAAGGGAATCCATAATTAAACAAAACAAACAAATAGAAGATGAATGAATAATAATTAAAAGGGTTGATCTGGAAATATTAGGAAAACAATATTTTCACAACAACTTTCGTTTTCATCGGTAGTTTCCCTGATACTATCAACAAGTACATGCATGTACTATATATACCGGTGCACTTAAGACACACGAATACATCACATGTGTAAGAAAAACAGTGTTATAGTAATAATTAATGGGTGTTTTCATGATGACCCTGTTATATGTCCAAGTTCTGTTAAAATGGACGAGGATGCATGTAATGGCACGAGGCAACGCAGAGGGACATTACAGCCTCCAAGGCAATTATTACTGACTGAGGACAAATAAAAGGCTAAATTTTGAAAACACCCATTTCTTAACACTTTTATTAATCAAACCGTCAATGTGTAATATTTAACCAAGCCAATTCATTTTTTTTGTGTGGAGAAATTGTATACATATAATTATACCAAATGCAATATTAAAAAGAAAGGTTTAAAATGTTTTGATGGAATAACGTGTAAATGTAAATATAGTTTTATTGTTGTCCTATTGAACACACTTTATTGCATACAAAATACAAGATTTCATTCTGAATGTTAAAACTCTCAATCTAATAAATTGATAGACATCATTAAATGTATTATTTAATTATTAACTTGACAACTGGGTCAAATAAGATAAGTCATGAGTCTTGGGACCTTTCAATTTCTTGATGGATCTTTTCCCGAGAAATTTATTTTAACTGATTAGAAATGAAAATCCGTAACCGCCCTGTTCATTCATAACTGCCCGGTTTTTTTATAATGGCCAAATTTATTCATAATAGCCCTGTTGTCATGTTTATTCATAATGGCCCTGTTTATTCATAGTAGCCCTGTTTATTTGAAATGACCCTGTATTAATGCCATGTTAGTCTGTAATGGACCAGTTTTGCTTTTATCAATAAAGGGGCAGTTTCATACATAATGCACTACACTGGTTAATAACGGATGATAAACATATCGAAAGCATAAAGTACATAAGTAAGCTCTAATATTTGAGATAAAACAGAGTAATAGGGATAGATCCCACATTAAATGTTTGCATATTGCCATATATGTTTGATGAATTTCAACTATTAAATAATCAAAAAGTGCGCACCTGTGTAGACCATTCAGCAAAAGTTAATATAAACCAAACTTTATAATCAGCGTTTACTTTTTTTGATTCAATATAATCTGTTAACATGAGTATCATCCGAACAGTAGTTATATTTTTCAAAATATTACTAGAAGGTCATGAAGATACCAATAACATTACTGGTACATGGATTTGATTTGCTTGTTGTCTGTGTCCTCAATTGTCAATGGAAAAATCCGTGTAACGAACAAATAATGTTGACGGAAGTAATTAATTTGGTTTCGTCAAGTGCTGTTCCGTTTATCATTGACTATGTTGTATAGCTTTTATTTGGTGAGCGTTATTCGTTGTATTCATGTTAATTTATACATTTTTTATTCTTGTTTTTGGTTCTATTCTGTTTAGGTTAGGTACATTGTGGTGCGTTATTGGCACGTGAAATTTATTCTTAAGTTTATCTTCTAAATTTGCAGTTTTCGTCAAATGGCCGTTTGTAATGGAGTTCATTTTATAACTTTTCGAGAAATAAGAGCGTTCTGGTTTGAACACGTCGATGAGACCATCTTTAATGGTAATTCCCGAGGAACTGGCTCCTTAAAACAATGATTTAAACTAGTAAATTGGATTTTGAAAACACAACTGTTAAACATTTCTGGTTTTTATATTTTAACATGACGTCATGTTTTGGTGCTAGATAACGCAACAAACTATTTAATAAAACAGCTCTCTCTCATGTGAATGGTTGAATATCGACGTCAAATCTCATTCCTTTCAAATAACAATACCATCATTGGTTTGTTGTCTAATTTTATTTTATTGAAGTACAATGGAAGTGTAAACTTGATTATATCTTTGTTTCTCTTTCTGTTTATGTACTGATTATAAAGTTTAGTCGCATATTCTCGATTACAGCAAATACGTTGGAACCAATTGCAGACCTGGTATTTTACAATGTGTGGCAAAATTAAAATAAATTCATTCAGATGTTTAGTATAAATGCAAAATGGAAATCGAATTTTAAAAATTTAGTGCATCCGAAGCGCTTTTCTTGATTTGATTTTATACCTTTATGCAAAAGCAAGGAACATGTAAAAATCGGATACACATATCAACGCAAAAGCACAAAAAAAAAATACAAATCAAATAAGAAAATACATAATGTTTTAATCACATCGTTTTCAGGCTACTTTTCTTGTAAATAAACTGTGCAAATAATGTCATATTACACTGTGAAGATTAAATATTGAAAAGTTTCCCCTTCTTTTTTAATTATTTAAGACTCCCCTCGAGGTTTGCATTTTTTGATATGACAGCGCAAACAAACTTAGTTTAAACAAAGCTATCTTTCTAGTAAAATATTTGTGTTAATTTACAAATGCATTTTGACAGTGATAATTTACCCAAAGCAAGTTACTTTATAAAAATATAACACAAACAGCAATAACTGACCTTTTTTAAATATGAATATTTCGGATTCATATCTGAAATATTCATATTTAGAAAAGGTCAATAACATGTATTACTTTTTACCAAAATTTATGAAAAAGAGTCGTTTTTTGTTCTCTGTTGTTTATTTCCCCCTTTTTTAAACGAAGATGTTACTTTGGTCCATTCTTATGCTGTGTATATTCCACAACACGGTCGCTCTGCCAGCGTCTGTGCTGACTTTTTCAATGAACGTTATTTATGATTATTAATTCAGGGATTTCGTTACCACAAATTTATTAAATTTCTTACTAAATTCTTTCATAGATACGAAGATTTGGTTTGGACATTTATCTGTTTCTGTAGAATTCTTATTAAATACGGGATATCCATCACATCCTAAAGTTTACAGTTATGTTGGTAATAGAGCCTGTAAATTTTAAATATTCCATTTAAACTCATTGATCCTTTGATCAAACTTGTTTTTGTCGTTTTAACAAAAATTTTAATTTTGAAAGATTAAGATCTAACTAAATATTTATTGCTTTAGAATGTACAGTTATGAGTATTCATAATCCTACATCCTGTTGATACAGTTTACTTGTACTTTGGAATTGGACAAGGTAATGCGTATCTCAGACTGTTTATGATAAAATTGAGAATGGAAATTGGAAATGTGTCAAAGAGACAACAACCCGACCAAAGAGCAGAAAAAAGCCGGAGGTCACCAATGGGTCTTCTATACAGCGAAAAAATCCCGCACCCGGAGGCGTGCTTCAGCTGGCCCCTAAACAAAAATATATACTAGTTCAGTGATAACGGACTTCATACTAAACACAAAAACATATAAATGAACTAAAATTAAAAATCATACAAGACTAACAAAGGCCAGAGGCTCCTGACTTGGGACAGGCTCAAAAATGCGGCGGGGTTAAACATGTTTTGTGAGATCTCAACCCTCCCCATATACCTCTAGTCAATGTCTAGAAAAAAACAAACACACTGCAATACGCACAGTAAAACTCAGTTGAAAAGAAGTCCGAGTCCGATATCAGAATAGTGTTGCTGCCACAAAGTAGAAATGTCAAAGACGAAAAATATCACCAAAAGACCTACAAAAACTCCCGACTGTTTTGCCGACGGTCTACTATCATCTGCACATTCTAGACTACGTCGGTATAATGACAAGAATGTCTTGTCGATCGTCAAGTTCCTTCTTAGCTTTTCTGCAAGGTGCAGAGCATCTTTAATGGTCATATTTGACACAAATCTAGTGGCATTGCATTCCTCAGGACAAGACTCGCATTCCATTAGGTCTGAAATAATAAATTTGTTATCCATGAAAGAAAATTGTCATATAAATTTACAATTATAATTGTTTTTCTTGTATATCGATTTCATCAAAACGGTTATTTCACTTTTTTTAACCTTTCCTTAGGAAATGTGAGCTTTTACAATCACTTGGCGTCCGTCGTCGTCCGTCGTCGTCGTCGTCGTCCGTCCGTCCGATGTAAACTATTTCAAACATCTTCTCCTCTGAAACTGCTGAACTAAACTGAAGCTAAATGATCCTTAGGGTATCTAGAATAAAGTGTTTTATTTTCTGTTTTGTCACGATCAGGATAGAGCAGGAATTTACATGTACGCAGATAAATGCAATGAATATTTAAGATTTATATATTTATTTTTACCTGTGTGTTTTGTGCAAAAACTAATGCTCGAATGTCTCTTTCGTGACCATGAGTTGGATACACCAACTTGAAGCCGTTTTCTTTATTCAATTAATGTTTTGAAGGATGTGCGTTTATTTTAAACTCACTAAATAAAGAATCGACAATTTGTTTTGTTTCTAATAAACGATACTGATTTATTTACTTACCTGTGATATTATAACTATAATAAGAAAAAAAAAACAAGTATTCCTGCCTTCACCATTGAATGGCCGTTATAAAGGTTTCACCTACTGTTTTCAAATAATGTCTTCCAAATATATTAAGACATTTTGTTCTCGTTTTACATAAATTCTATAGAAATGCTTAATAAAATTGAGAATGGAAACGGAATATGTGTCAAAGAGAAAACAACCAGATACACATATTACTGCTTTTGGTACGTGTGTTGATTGTATTTACTAGACACATTTCTTTTGTCAAATGACGTATGTAATACAACAATGTAAAGTAAAAAGATAAACATTGGCTCCTTCTTGTTTCTGTCTATTTTAATAGTATAGATAAACATATTGCGGTTGGTTTTTAAAAATCTTAACCTTTAAGGTGGTACCTAACACTACAGGGAGATAACTCTGTAAAAATCAGCTAAACGTTTTAATCACGTTGTATTGTTAAGGAAATATCAAGCTTCTCAATGATCAAAATTAGTGTTTGTCAAACTGCTATATAACCAGTGAAATTTTTCTGATAAAGTGGTTGGTTCAAATTTTTTGAAATTTTTATATTTCTGTCAAAGGGTCAAAGTAAACATTTTGTCAAAATTTTATGAAAATTAAACGAGCCAAATTAATATTAGTCAAGGTGTTGGGTACCACCTTAAAGTTCACAACATAGATCGCAAACGTATATAAACGATCGA